TTGTGTGATTCTTTGGTTAGAGAATGATTTCTTTGTAATCTTCTTTTTTGTGATTAGTAAAATTCTCTGCTATTCTCGCTCGCGGACGTAGGTCACACTGATCGAACAACGTTAAATCCTTGTGTGATGTTCTTTTTATCTTCACTGTGTTTATTCAGTGTTATTATTCTCCACTCTTGTATAGACATCTTCTGTGTCTGTGAAGCCCCCCCGCTGTAACAAACTGGTATCAGAGCATGGTTATTCTAAGAGTAAATATGATAGTTGTGTTATCATAAAAAGCTTAATGAAAACTCTTTTGTGTATTTGCTTTTGTATGTTGATGATATGTTGATTGCAGCTAAAGATATGTCAGAAATCAACGAGTTAAAATATCAACGAGCTGGAGAGAGTAATTAGCAGGGGCACCAGATCATACCTTTAAAGGCTATAAATAGAGGGTAGTGGTGAAGGTTTTAAGTGCAATCGGGACAGTGAGAGTTAGAGAGAGAAGAGAGATAGAAAGAGAAATCTCTTTCTTTGTGTGATTCTCTAGTGAGGTTAGAGAGTGATCTCTCCTTTGTAATTTTTTTGTGATTAGTAAAGTTCTCTACTGTTCTCGTCCGTGGACATAGGTCATATTGACCGAATCACGTTAAATCTTTGTGTGCTATTTTTTTCTTCACTGTGTTTATTTAGTGTTGTTATTCTCTACTCTTGTATAGACATCTTCTGTATCTGTGAAGCTCTCCGCTGCAATAAACTCTGATAAAATGATATCTGGAGCTCAAACATGAAAGTATCAACTCTCAAATATCTTAGTACAGGCTAAGAAAAAATTTGTTGTATATTTTTTCATACGCAAAGTCAAAAATATACAACAAATTTTTTCTTGGCCTGTACTTAGATATTTGAGATTTGATACTTTCATGTTTGAGTTTCGGATATCATTTTATCAGAGTTTATTGCAGCGGGGCGCTTCACAGACACAAAAGATGTCTATACAAGAGTGGAGAATAACAACACTGAATAAACACAGTGAAGACAAAGAGAATAGCACATAAGGATTTAACGTGATTCGATCAGTATGACCTACATCCACGGGCGAGAATAGCAGAGAACTTCACTAATTACAAAAGAGAAGAATTACAAAGGAGCGATCACTCTCTAACCTCACTAGAGAATCACACAAAGAAAAGATATTTATCTTTCTATCTCTCTTCTCTCTAACTCTCACTGTCCCGATCGCACTTAAACTATTCACTACTACCCTCTATTTGTAGTCTTCAAGGGTTGGTGGAATAGTATTTTTTGGGGTTGGTGGAATAGTAAAGGGGTAGGTGGAATAGTAAAGTTAGGTGAAATTTATTTTTCATATGCAAAGTCAAATATACAACAAATTTTTTCTTGGCCTGTACTTAGATATTTGAGATTTGATACTTTATGTTTGAGCTCTGGATATCATTTTATCAGAGTTTATTGCAGTGGGGGGCTTCACATATACAAAAGATGTCTACATAAGAGTGGAGAATAATAATACTGAATAAACACAGTGAAGACAAAGAGAACAGCACACAAGCATTTAACGTGATTCGGTCAGTATGACCTTGTTCAAAGTCTTGTCCAGAAAGGACAAGTTGTCGGAATTTATGCCCGATGGTGAGAAAAAAGAGCTGGAAATGAAGGCGTATAGTGCCATACAACTCTGTTTGGCCGATGAGATTCTGTGGGAGGTTGCCAATGAAGATACCATCATCGGCTTGTGGCTCAAGTTGGAGAGCTTGTACATGATGAAATCTCTAACGAACAAGCTCTACTTGAAGCAACGCCTCTTCACCCTTCACATGAAGGAATATATGTGAATTAAAGACCACTTAGATGAACTTAACATTATTCTTATGGATTTAAAGAATATTGATGTTAAAATCGACGAAGATGATCAAGCCCTTATCTTTTTTATGTTCATACCTCATTCTTATAAAATTTTGTCAATAGCATGTTATACAGTAGAGATACACTTTCTTTGGAGGATGCTTACATTCAAAAGAGTTAAGGTAGAAAGTGTTTATCATAGGAGGAGAGGATCAAGCTGAAGACTTATTCGCTCGTGGTCGTCCTGAAAAGAGTGTTAGTGGTAGAGGCAAATCTAAAAATATGCCTAGATCAAAGTCCAATCCAAGAAAAAATGTTGAATGTTATTACTGTCACGAGTATAGACATATAAAACCTAATTGTCCAGCGCTCAAAACAAATTATAACTCGCAATCGAAGTCTGGAGAGGTGAAACCTTCAATTGCCACTATAGCTGAAGAGACTTCTAGTACATATGAAGTTCTTTCAGTTAGTGTTAATACTCGTTCTCATGATGAGTGGGTTATTGATTCAGGTTGTTCCTACCATGTGTGTTCGCATAAGGATTGGTTTGTCACATATCAGTCTATTGATGGTGAGAATGTCTTGTTGGGAAATAACATGCATTGCAAGACTGTTGGTATCGGATCAATTAAGATTAAAACCCATGATGGTATTGTTAGAACATTAAGTAATGTCCGACATATATCAAAGTTAAAGAACCTCATTTCTTTAGGCACCATTGACTCAAATGGTTTTAAATTTTCGGTTGAAAGTGAAGTTTTGAGAGTTAGTAAAAGCTCTCATTGTGATGAAAGAAAAGAAGGTAAATACCCTCTGTATCCTTAAAGGCAGTACAGTGACAGGTGCTGCAGCAGTGTCATCCAGTATTCAGATTTAGACACTACACGTTTGTGGCATATGCGGTTAGGGCAACCTACGTCCATGGACGAGAACAACAGAGAACTTTACTAATCATAAAAGAGAATATTACAAATGAGATCACTCTCTTAGAATCACACAAAGAAAGAGATTTCTCTTTCTATCTCTCTCTCCCTCTATCTTTTCTCTCTAATTATGGCTCGTTGCCTGTTGATCTGAGCTCCTCTCACCCTCATTTTATAACCTTCAAATAATAATAGAAAACTAAAAAATGGTAGGTGAAACAGGAGCTAAGTTGCAAATTTTGAAAAAAACATGTCGCAAAATTAAGCAGTCGCAAATGACTTTATTCAAGTCACTTTCACAAATCACCACCTTGACTTGAATATGAAGATCTTCTCTTTTGTGATTAGTAAAGTTCTCTGTTGTTCTCGTCCGTGGACATAGGTCATACTGACCGAATCACGTTAAATCCTTGTGTGTTCTCTTTGTCTTCACTGTGTTTATTCAGTGTTGTTATTCTCCATTCTTGTATAAACATCTTTCATCTTCTGTGTCTGTAAAGCCCCCGCGGCAACAAACTGATATCAGAGAACAGCACAAGAGAACAACAAAAAATGGTTCGGTCAGTATAACATACGTCCACGGGTGAGGACAAAAAACTTCACTAATCACAAAAGAGAACATCTTCATATTCAAGTCAAGGTGGAGATTTATGAAAGTGACTTGAATAAAGCCATTTGCGACTACCTAATTTTGCGACATGTTTTTCAAAATTTGCAACTTAGCTCTAGTTTCACCTACCACTTTTTGATTTATTATTATTATTTGAAGGTTATAAAAGGGGGGTGAGAGAGAGCTCAGATCGACAGGCAACGAGCCAGAATTAGAGAGAAAAGAAAGAGAGAGAGAGAGAAAGAAAAATCTTTCTTTTCTCTAACTCTCACTGTCCCGATCGTACTTAAACCCTTCATCACTACCCTCTATTTATAGCATTCAAGTGTTGGTGGAATAATACTTTTGGGGTTGGTGGAATAGTGCAGAGGGTAGGTGGAATAGTAAAGTTAGGTGAACTTTATTTTTTCATATGCAAAGTCAAAAATATACAACAAATTGGTGAGAAAGAAGAACTGGAGATGAAGGTGCATAGTGACATACAACTCTGTTTGGCCGATGAGATTCTGTGGGAGGTTGCCAATGAAGATATCGTCACCGGCTTATGGCTCAAGTTGAAAAACTTGTACATGATGAAGCCCGTACCTTTGCGCAAGTTCGAGCATTGTCTCGAATTGCTTGGAATTCAACAAAGCGGAGGTTAAGCCTGTAAGAGGCTTCTAGAGAGATAGCAAGAGTAAAGAAAAAGATTTTTATATTCAAAGTCAAGGTGGAGATTTGTTGTATAATTTTGAATTTGCATATGAAAAAATAAAGTACACCTAACTTTACTATTCCACCTACCCTCTTCACTATTCCACCAATCCCAAAAAGCACTATTTCACCAACCTTTGAAGGCTATAAATAGAGGGTAGTGGTGAAGGGTTTAAGTGCGATCAGAACAGTGAGAGTTAGAGAGAAGAGAGATAGAAAGAGAAATCTCTTTCTTTGTGTGATTCTCTAGTGAGGTTAGAGAGTGATCTCTCCTTTGTAATATTCTTTTTTGTGATTAGTGAAGTTCTCTGTTGTTCTCGCCCGTGGACGTAGGTTATACTGACCGAACCACGTTAAATTCTTGTGTGTTGTTCTCTTTGTCTTCACTGTGTTTATTCAGTGTTGTTATTCTACACTCTTGTATAGACATTTTCTGTGTCTGTGAAGCCCCCCGCTACAACAATTATTTTATAATAGCTTTTATAAAGGACATACATCTTGAAAGGCATATACTATAGGGGCTCATAAACATTATTCTGAACATAATGACTGAAGTAAAACGTGATTATGTCAGAATTCTATGGGTAACAAAATTAAATGAATTTAGGCACATCATTAATCTTGTCAGTGAGTCCCGCGGACAGTCTGGCATAACAGTAGTTAGATATTTAGCCTACACTTGGAGTTCCTGAAGTTGGTGCAACATTTTAATACCGCAATTGAATTGTCTCCTTTTCTTCAGGGGCTGTCCTTACCTTTTCCGGTTTATATATATATTTTGTCTTTATCGTATTCCTTTGCTTGAACCTTCCTCTTTATATTGTCAACTCCTTGTATGTATTCAGTTACCTATGGTTGCTGGGATGCTCTTTTTGTGCCATTGAGGTCTATACACTGACTGGATTTCTCCTTTATGGCAGAAATATCAAGACAGGCTGTCCAGAAATAATGGTTAATTTTGTGACATCATCTTACAAGCCTGAGCTATTGGAGCCACTTGTGAACAATATTTCAGCTATCCCTGAAGTGGTTTGTACAATTCATATGCTTTTATTTTTGGAAACACATAAATTATCGTCAAACATATTTCTTTAGGTTTTAATTGAAACATCACCTCAGTGGGTTGAATTATAAATCACTCGCATGGTTAACAATTTATAGGGAAAGGACCCTGGTTAGTTGCATTGCATAGTGATGATACTGTGTTAGTGTTCGGTAATATTATTTTTCTATTTTGGTTTTTAGTGATTCCTACAGCATCATGGTAAAAACAATAAAAATTGAAGTATTTGAAGTCAAATGTCAGGCAAAACACCTTCCATTTTGGTGGTTTCCAGTGTTCACTTACTGATAATTGCTGATTTGAATGGCGGCTGGATATCATGTAGTATCATCTTAATCAACTTGTTATCTGGATTCATGGGTTTTAATGAGTTGAAGACTGTTGTTGCCAATTCTGTATCTATTCCTTTGTTCCTTAGCTCTTGGGAGAATAGTTCTAGCTGATGGATAACGTCTAATGTATATGATGTAGTGCTAGTGATATTTTTCTTGTCCTCTGCACTATCATCATCACAATAGGCAATAAGTATTGTTAGTCGCCTTACTTCACATTGTTCACATATTGTTGTGGCCACTAGGATGCATTCAACAGGCAACTATTTATTTACTGTTTGCTTCATTGTAGATATTTGTTGGAATCAGAACTGATGGGTAGTAAAGAATGCATTTAGCACAAGAAACAGGGAGCCTTTAGTACTTAATAACATTTTGAGAAAGCATGAGAACTGCTGGAAACTTTTAAGGAAAAAGTTGAGGTAGAAACAGTTTTGTTTGATTTCTTTAGCATCTGAATTATCATATGTTATACTACATCTGTTGACGGACTTCTACTCTTTAGTGAAAAAAATATCAGTTCATACCTCTTCTCTAGAGAAGTTCCTAAGGACACATTTGGTTGATTCATCTTCTACTTTCTGTTTTGGTGTTACCATGCTCTCTGCACTAATTTAACTAAAACCAGCAGTTGGATATCTCATGCTATCTTACATAATATTTATTGGATACCCACATCCAAGTATTATACTTGCAATATTTATTGGATACCCACATCCAAGTATTATACTTGCATTTCTCTTGACCTTTTGTTTCTTATTTTTGTAATTTAGTAAACCCTCTTTATGTTCATCTTCCTTTCATTATCTGTTTCTACTCGAGGAATGTTTTAACTATTCTTATGATTGAAACGTACCCTTTTTCCTTCTGATTTAAATAGGTCAGCATCATGAACAATGTGAATTCTTCTGTTGGTAATACATCTGTGGGAGAGGAGGAATACACTCTTTATGGGAAGCCAAAAATTACAGAGATATTGAGAGGCCTTACGTTTCAGATTTCACCCAACTCTTTCTTCCAGACAAATTCACACCAGGTGTGTCATACGATTTAATTTTGAGGTCATGACTTGCAGCTGCATGAGTTCCATTTTATGTTAATATGCTCCTCGTTATTTTGTTTACTACTAGGGTATTTACTTTGACCTATACACCGCTCAAATGCACCCTATTTGCAGATTTCCTCCCTCCGCTCCCCAACAAAAAAAAAAGAAAAAGAAAAAAAAAGAATATTAGCTGATGTACCCCCTAATTCATTGACATTGGAGTCAGATTGATATAACCTATGTTACCTGGGTACTTCTATTTGGAAGTTATACCCATACCTGACTTGTACCCGTACCCATACTTCTACCCAAACTTCTTGGACACTTATTGAATATATGCATATATTTGTTCAGGCGTATACTCAACTATATACTTCATGTTTTAATTTAAAACACTCACCGTGCACTTCTTAGATGTGTATTCTACAATTCATAGCTATTTCTAATATATTAATCTTATATAAATGAAAAAAAGAATATTGATCTTATATAAATTATTCATTTTGATACATATAAATATGCATAACGTACATATTTATACCTGTGTCCTCGTACCCTACCTTTTACAAATTTGACCAATACTAATATTCGTCCCCATAACAGTACTCGTTCATGTAGCCATGCAACTTAGATATAACACCCAGATTTATTGTGAGGGAATGTACCCAGTTATTTCCATTGTCATGTTGAGATGATGAGTTATTAAAATATGACTAATATTCATAACTAAGTTAATTAATTTGCAATTAAATTTTGAGACAGAGTGCAACGAGGTATATAGGTAAAAAACCCATAATAATATTGCTCAACCTGGCATGTCAGTATATAAGAATATCAAAGATTTATTGCTTATGGTCCTTATGGATAAATCATATTTAACATAATACGTTGTGGAAATAATGAACAAGACCTAGAGTTATGTTTTCTGCACTTGCACACTTGTAGTTTCTTAATTCAATGATCTGCACTCAGTGTATGCTGTATGAGAATTTAGTCATCTAAATATCATTAGAATATTTTTTTCTACCAAATTATCCCTGTTTCCATATATCATTTCTATAGGTAGAGGAAAAGTGCTAAATGAATGAGAATTCAAAAACCTAAGGAAAAATAATTGCAGTAAAGTTTTAGTGTTAGAAACTCCAAGCACAAATAACTCTTTTTTTCTTTTTAAGCCCTTCTGAACATTTGCTTTCGCTGACTCTATTCTTTGTATGATCCTTTCTAGTTCCCGTTCTATTTTTAACTCTCTTTTCTAATCCACTCTGGTCCTCATTTTTAAATCTCGTATACACATACTCTCTTTAACTCTTCGTCTCTCAATGAAGGTTCTCAATAAAGGTTGGACACGGAATAATATTTGCTAGCCCTTATCCAGCTCGATCTTGCCAAGGCTTTGCAACATAAAATGATGAATTTTGAGGAAAGAAAACTTAATTGTCATTGGTCGATATTGATAAAAATGAACAAAAATATTAGGTTATAGCGCATAAAAATTATGATTTTGTAAGTGCACCAATTAATCGTCATTCGGTAGAAATACATAAAAAAGGAAAAAAAATGTTGGTTATAGGCCATGAAAATTGTGAATTTTGAAGTACATCAATTGATTATCATTGGGTTGAAAGAGATGAAAATGAAAAGAGAATTGGGTTATAGCACATGAAATTTTGAGAAAAAAATTTAGTTAATGGTGGGTCGAAATGACTTGGATCAAAATTGTGGGTTATTATTTGTGAAAATTGAATTTTAAATATGCCAATTGTTGAAATTAGTGAATTTTAAGGAAAGAAAACTTAATTGCTATTCGGTCGTAGCAAATGAAAATGGACAAGTTGTGGGCTATATAGCGCATAAAATTAGTTATCATTTAGTTGAAACAAATAAAAATAGAAAAAATGACTGGCTAAGGCCATGAAGAATTATGAATCTTGAAGTACACCAATTAATTGCTATTGGGTTGAAACAGATAAAAATTGACAAAAGTTGTGTGTTACAATAGCACATGAAAATAGTGAATTTTCATGATTGAAAATTCAGTTGCCATTGTGTCGAAATGATAAAAAGAAGAAAAAAATAATGGGTTATTATAGTCCATGATAATTGCGAATTATGAAACATGCCAATTAATTGTCGATGAGTCAAATAAGAAGAAAATGGAAAAAATGTGATTTATAGCACATAAAAATGGTGAATTTTTAGAAAAGAAAGTTTAGTTACTATTGGGTCGAAACGACTAAAAATATACAAAAATTATGGGTTATAGTCCATAAAATAGGAAATTTAAAATATGATAATTAATTGTTATTGGGTCAAAACATATAAAAATGGACAAAATTGTGGATTATAGTCCATGAAAATGGTGAATTATTTGACATTGGATTAAAATAGATGATAATACATAATTGCGGATTATAGTCCACGAAAAAGATAAATTTTAAGGCAAGAAAATTTAATTGTAATTGGGTCGAAAACAAATTAAAATAAAAAAAATCGTGAGTTACATCCCAAATAAATTACAAATTTTGAAGTACACCAGTAAATTGTCATTTGGTCAAAACTAATAAAAATGGACAAATTTTGTGTTCTGCCCATAAAACTTGCAAATTTTGAAGTGATCAAGTAATTGTCATTGGTTGAAATAGATAAAAACGATCTAGATTAGCAATAAAGATTTACAAATGTGTATTTTTACATGTACGTGCAATTAAATTAGACACAACGATCGACACTGCCCATCCTAATTTACGTACCACATGATCTATATGTAGAAAAAATTATATCGTTTAGAAATTTTATTGTTTTAGCTATATGCAAAAGGACAACTATTAAGTTAGGTGCCCTAAAATCAATTTATTAATGTGAAATACTACTATTATTTCTTTTTCTTTCTTTCACACTATACATGTAAAACAAAGTTAGTGTATCACGTAAAGGTAGCGACCGGGTCGGGTTGACTCATAACCAGCACTGAATCAGCCCGTTTTCGGTTGATATGACCGTGCCCGATAGCATCTGAGTCAGGTCTGATCTGGTTTCATCGGAAAGTGGGTTGGGTATGGATCTGTTTCTGAAACCTTGGCCTAGACCTGGCTAGGAAACCTGGCCTAGCTCGGATCGAGCCTTGACCTGCACCTAACCCTATATTGACATTACTTATAAGTAACTAACTATTATTAACTATGTAGTAATCCTCAAATTAGTAACATAGTGGAATGTTCATGTTTTTCAAGCAATGAATTGGTAGGTCGAGCTCAAACATTCCTCAAGAAGCAACAATATCCTAGTTAGTCGGTCAAAATTCATCTAAATCAACTTTTACAAAAAGAGTCCAAAGAAAAGACGTAAAAGAAAAAAACAGAAAAGAAAAAAGAAAAACAGAGGGTTGGGTTGGCCTAACCTGACCCAGTCGCCAGCTCTATATAACTAATGTGAATTAAGTAATTAACAAACATCCACTGAAAATAAATGTAATTATTAAGTACAAAATTTCCATGAAACATGTAAAAATTAAGAATATGAAATACTCTTATTTCTTTTTCTTTCTTTCACGCAATAAATACATGACTTTAGACAAAGATTACTTTCTATTCAATAACAATAGAAGCAGAAGAAAAGAAAATTTCGAAGTGAGAGGGAATGTGAACAAATCTTTTTATTAAAAATACATAGATATGATGATCTCCATAATAATATCCCTTCAACTATGGTTTCACCACCAAGCTATTTCAGGACAAAGCAAAAATACAACAACACGCAGAGTCCACAATTGGGTCGGGTACACACAATCCACCAAACCGAAAATATCCTTCATTTGCACATGCATCTTGGCACACATCTTATTATCCACAATGCAACGTATGTCAATGTAAATGTAATGACAATGATCATCATCATTAAGCGCATATGCAACCAACCCTACAAACACAAAGTACACAAAATGAGAAACATATTCAATGCAAAAATAAAAATTGGATTTTGTCATGTATACCCTAAAACTCTATCCTATTTTTATATTAGGAGCTCAAATCTTCATATTTTTATGCGTATTGCAAATAATCCCCCTTATCTATATCTGCACTCGTATTTATCATCCCTTAGTTATTTTACTAGTACTTAACACCTCTGGGAAGAGGGGTTTATCTGCAACCTTCTCAAAATGTGAATCTTTATGTGAATCTAGAATGTTAAATGCTATAAATAGTTGAGGGGTAATATGATCAAGTGTACTTAACATCCTAGAGGGTGTTATCGGTATTTTATCCTCTTTTTAAATGACATCCCCAAAATATTCACAATTGTTTGAAATGGGATCTTATTTGGAATGACTTAATGGATCTGAGAGTGTAAATTACAAATATGGGGGGTGTTATCTTAAACATCTTTGCTTGATATATTTAAAGGTGTAAAATAAAAATATTAAGATTTGAAGGTAATACAAAAATAGATTAGAGTTTTAGCGTCTGATATGAGAATAATCTTAAATTTTTTATATTATACATTCGTCATCATTGAAAAGGCCCACTGGTTGTATTAAATTTGTACATTATACCCTCGTCATCATTAACAATGTAATTTCTCTAATTAAAAAAATTTATAATGAGAAATACTTTTAATCCCTCCTTTATATGCAATGAGAAATTAGTGGTGCTACTAAAGGCACAAAAAACTGACACGTGTCACGCCCTGGTTTTAAAATATAATAACTTGGAACGTGACTCGGCCGATAATGCAACCCTTCGGCCACATTCACACCTCGAGATCATCCTGTATATTGATATAAAATCAAAACTACATCATAGAGCATGTAACTAAGACAACACAGAAAAATAGATAGGTAAAGAAATCTCTAAAATTTACAAAGTTCTACGACAAGTCCACAACTATCCAAAAAGAAAAAGAGGAAAATACATCATAGTCTGGAAAATCACATGTGGCTAAAGGAAAGGTTTAAAACAAATAACTACCGAAATAAACTGAAGCTGAGAGAG